TCATCAGTTAAAGAATTATTGGAAAAGATCAAGGTTTTTGACATATTAGGGGCCTTTAATGATGACTTGACATGAAAATCCATGTAAAGCTACTTAAACCTTTCATAAAAATGTTTGCCAATTGTCTTCAGATGCGACGAATCCTTTTGAACAACACAACTTTTGTCTTCTTATTTGGGGCATTATTAAGTAGTGGTTCAGAATGATGCCACTGAGACATCACGATGAGCTCATTTGGTGTTTTAAGTCAAAAATATTTCCGCCGACTGTGGACCATTAGCGAGCGAAGAGGCCTGTACTTATCCAATAAATCTGTGGTGCATTTTCTCCAGTGTGAATGTGTTTTCCTCATGTGTAGCCCTAACCCCCCACTCTAAACTATCACATGACAACTCTGCACTGAAGACACGTGGTTTTGTTTAGCAGTGAGGCATCATGTCCCTCGTAACTGCTTCTGCGCATGTTGTACCATCCTGTTTGGGCCTCTCCCCACAGGCACAACCCAATCGGCTGCTTGATATTGTTTTGCGAGGGCATTGCAGGAGGCATTGATTTTTGTTTTGTTTTTTTATTAAGTTAAAAACATTGAGACAATAGCGTTTATATGTGCCATCATGACGTGCTATACATTTGAATCCTTTCTTACATTTGCTCCAGTCCATGCATGTGCTTATTTTTTTTATACTAAAATAAAAAACACTTTAATCGAAATGCCTGTATCAAGTTAAAAAGTTACATAAATTAAAAAAGTCTAGACACATGTTTTCCCCCTCTGTTTTGGCCCCTTTAGGGATAGTCAGTGTATTATATCTAAATAAAATGGCATACTAGGTATTTTGATGATGCATTATTGTGCAACAGGCGGCACGGTGGCTGAGTGGTTAGCACTCTAGTTTCTAAGCTAGAAGGTCAAAGATTTTAAACTTGGTCAGGAACAGGACCTTTCTGAGTGGAGTATGCAATTTCTCCCCATGTCTTTCTTCCAGCTGTTCCATTTCCCCTACCACTAAAAACATGTAGAATAGGTAAAATCCTTCTACTCCAGTAGTCCAAGAGCATCAACATCTGGGCATGGGCTGTACTGCGGCGACCACTGCTCCTAACTGGTTGTCGTAGCGAAAGTGAAGGATGGGTCAAATGCAGAGGACAAATTTCCCAATAGGGATCAATAAAGTGTGCCTTACTCCTAAGAAACATAGAGCAATGTCCCGTGTACATCTATTCTTTCCCTTTTGTCGAAACATCTCTTAAATGTATTTACCTAGCAGCACACAGCTCCTGTCTCTTGCAGTTCCACTTATCTTGCTTACGCCACTGACTATACTGGGAGTCTGTGGGAGGCATGAAGCACCAGGGAAAAAAATGGCCATGATCCGATATCATCAAAGTGTCTTATGCAACGGCCATTAGCTGCGATCGAACGGTCCACGTGTCTGTCCAGAGCAGAGTTTCAGAGAGAGTGGGAGGATGACTGCCGCCTGCACATACACCTGACGACTGCCAATGTGCAGGAATGTTGCGCAAGATATTGTACATAAACATGCACTACATGACTGTTTAGATTGTGTGTATAGTAAGACCGCCAAATAGTTGGAAAAATGTTCTGCGCTGTATTTAAATTCTATCAAAATATTCAAGTTGAATCTGATCTGCCCATCAGGGAAGATTTGTGTAGAATTAACTTAGACTGGACGCCTGTGAAAAGGGCCTAAAAGTTTGCTTGCTTCAAAAAAAAAGTCTTTTTGAATCCTATTATTTAGACTCAAGACCTGACCCACTATCTAAATTGTCTATTACCGCATGAGCGGCACTTTACGCATTAGTTTATCCAAGGCACCGTGGAATTTGTATCAACATGACATGTTGTTTAAAGATGATTCAAAAAGTCATGCTTTGGAATTCCCCCTTATCTCATTCAGCCCAGAACAATGCGGCACGTATCCCACATGTAAACACGGCCTCTTCCTTTATGTTCCCGCTGCATTCTTTGTTTATGGGCATCGACAGGAGGGGCTTTTCCGTGTATCATTGTCTATTAATATCTGCACGACATGATGACAACATACCATTATATTTTAGACTGTATTTTATATAAAAAGGGGTCATTATAAGTGTACATTGAATTGTAAAGTTTGACTTTGGTCTGTGAACTATGCTGAATTGATGTAAAACTTTACTAATCCTGAAAGATTCTTGTGCCAAGTACTTACATATGTTGAAACCATTTGTTTATAATATAGTGTCATTTCGGTGGCTCAGTTGGTAGAGCATTGGCCTTTGAGCCTGAAGGTCGAGGGTTCGGGCCCACTGTAAGACCTACTTCACGTCTCTCACTGATGACTGCTGTTGTTGTGTCCTTGGGCAAGACACTTAACCCCATTTTGCCTGAAACCCCCGCTGAAAGATCTCAGCTTCTGTGGACTCACCACCTGCAGGAGGATCAGTGAGGGGCTGGTGCTAAGTGTTCTGGGTGCAGCTCTGACTGCCACCCCCCGACCCAGAAATGGATTAAGGGGAAGAAAATGGATGGATGGATAGTGGTTTATAGTTTATTGTTGTTCAAGTATAGGTCTGTCAAGATAACTACTACACACATGACACATTCAGATCCAGTAGATGGACCAATTCATTGTAAATGTTCTTACCAAAATTGAGAAGGTATTTGCTCTGTTCTTTTGTATTACGATAGCTTAAGGTGGATGCCATTATTTTATTGCTATTCTTTATTTGAATGTCTTAATTCAATTTTAATGGTGAAGACATTTAAAAAGGTTTCAAAGATGTGTCTGTTGTTTTGTAATTGCACCAGTGGCACAACGTTGTATTCATAAATTACAATATTGAAACATCTCTGTATAAATCAATGTGTTTTCGAGACACACCTATTGTCTGATACTGGGCGCGCTCCTCTTAAATAACTGTCTGGAGTTAACCCTTTTATAAGAATGTGCCTCTAACATGACCTCTCTGCACCAGTCTGGCTCCTGTCATATATTTTATGTTAAGTGTCCTTCCTTCAGGCGCTGCAGGTCTTGACAATGCCTGAACTTTATAATCTGATGCTGACACTGAGACAAACTCTCTACCACTGCACAAACCTACATGAGAAGGACTAAACACAGTGGTTCTCAACTGGAACAGAGTATGGGCCCACATCGACCTACATCATCAAGCTGTGACATAATCATTTAGTATGAATATTGTAAAATACTGTATATTTTCACTTATCTGTGCCGTGTGGAATTATTTTACAGTGGATCAGAAAAAAATCAGCGTTCTGCAGTTTGCACATGTTCAGTAAGATTTCATATGTACTAGAAGTTTGTGACGTCAGTGTATTTTGATTGGTAAATAATAAAAATGTTATATGATGACTTTTAAAGAAAAAAACCTCGTGTGGACTGACCACCTGCAGAGGATCAGTGAGGGGCTGGTGCTATGTGTACTGGGTGCAGCTCTGACTGACACCCCCGACCCAGAAATGGATTAAGGGGTAGAAAATGGATGGATGGAAGAAAAAAATCACCTAATGTCCATAATATAAGAATATAGAGAATAAAGAATATAATTAGCAAACCATCTACTATTATTTTAGGTTCTTAAATATTTCACTGATCCAAATTCCATTAAAATGCAATATTTAGGGTTTGTTTATGCTTACCTCACCTACCGCACAGATCCACACATCTGCTCGTCTCCGTGGAGCAGAAAATGGCAGTTCTTAATCTTGTCCTTGTCCAGGGAGACGAGCAGGTGCACGTCCTCGAGGCAGAGTTAAGTCCGATGTGCCGAGACGAGTTCGCCCACAGTAAGGCTTTAGGTTTCTCAAGGAAGGCGTCTGGCCTTGAAATCACATACTGTATGTCGTTGAATAAATTTCGGATGGGTGGATAGTAAAGCAGAAGACACAGCTAGATTGAAGAAGACGTACAGTCAATAAAAATTAGGATGATGATAATAAATACCAAATAATACAAATATATATTCAAATATTAAATAATGAATAATAAATACAAATAATACAAATCATAAATAATAATACAAAAAATATTGGATTTATTTTTATACAAAATATAATAAAAATCATAGGCGCCTGTCTTGAGGAGAGGATGTGGTAGTTTTGGTGAAAGTGGGATTTGGATTACAGAAGACATACCATGCTTCTGCCTGCTGTAGTGATAATCCACGGCACTTGGTTACATTACTTTACATTTAATCATATAATCCCAGGGCAAGACGCTTAACCCTACTGCCTGAAGGCAAATATGCCAACATTGACTTCGGCATTGGTCCTTCTTCTGAATGATATTTTTCGGCTCAGACTTGACGGAGCACAACAAACGGTCGTGGCGTGGTTTACGCCAAGCGACCGTTTGTTGTGCTCCGCTAAAAAACTGCTAAAAATATGGTTGCTACTCTATGGAAGCCCCCTCGCTCGCTGCCGAAATGTCTTGCCTAAGTTGGATATAGTTTGGATTATAGTTTATAACAAGAATACACAATGCCAAGGAATGAACCAACTTAAGTGAATAAGTGAAGTGAAGTTCTTTAAGCGTTTAGTTATATAGATTGTGTTTCATTTGACGTTCTTCATGTCCTGGACCTGTGTGTCTTGCACATTTTTAGTTTGAAGATAGAAAAAAACATAACTTGCTGCTCATTTGACTTTGTGTTAATGCAAGAAAAAAACTTTAACTTACCTTTGCTGGAGGGTGTAGTGATGATCCAGGACACTTGACATTCAAAGACATTTAAGGATTTTTTTATTAACATTTATGGACATTGGTCTCTGCCCCTTATGGACAGATGGATCTATTTCTTATAATTGCATTTGTTGTGTTTGAACGGTTTGATATTCAGCTTTAACTATTGGGATTTAGGGCTTTACAAGAATACATTGAATTGAATTGAACTTTTTCAAGGCTGTGAAACCAGTCTTCTGCGGTGTTAAGATGTCACGCACTTCAATGATTTGTTTGTATTTGTTGTCCTCCCTGCAGACTTATATCGGCAGTGTGGTGATCTCCATAAACCCGTACAGGTCGCTGCCCATCTTCACACCGGACAAAGTTGAGGAATACAGGAACCGGAACTTCTACGAGCTCAGTCCACACATGTGAGTCTCCATCCTCCTATTTTTGTGTCATTGTTGCCCACTTTGCCCATGCTCCAATGTCTAATGGAAGAGACAAGAAATGTTTGTTTAGAGCCATATCGGCAGAACCAGGGCAGCTGTGGCTAGAGTCATCTGATGGTGAATAGTGTTGTTGCCTTTTGATAAAATTAGCAATCTTTCAAAATACTTTTATACATTGCCTTACTATTTGATCCACGGGAGTACCTAGTTATACTACTAAATGCTTTCAAAAAGGTGTTTTGTTTCATAGAAAAATATGTAATTTGTCACAATAGAAAGTGAGGAGGATAGAAAAGTTACACATCGCAATTTGATGGTTTGGGCTGAGAGCTGATCGGCTAACTGAGGGGTTTTTATTTTTTATTTAAATTTGACAAAAATTGAACCCAACTAGAAATAACTTTTTTTTTTTTTTTTGACTGTTTTGGGAGTCCAAAACAATAAATACAGGTATGAGGTTAAATTCTATGCTGAATAGTCCCATGTGTCTCTGTATGATGAGCCAGTCCTGATTGACATGATTCTGGTCTAAATGCAGGCTCCATTGACGGCTTAAAAAAACACTCTATGAGCCAAAGCTGAAAAGACCGACCCCCTTTGCTCTTTCTATAAAACATCTTTCCAGCAGGACAAAGCGAGAGGGGTCGGAGCCTCGAGACTGAGACAATTTGTCCAGTTTTATGGGTCCTCTTCGGTGAGCTGCAGATACAGTGGCAAGAGCACTGGGGTAGATTCGCACAGCTTTTCCAATGGGGTTTTACTGCAAATGGAAAAATAAAGTCTTGGATCTTAAATCAAGCAGAAGTGGCCGATATCCCGGGTTACAAATCACAAATATCACTAAATTATTGTTTTATTTGGTAATGTCGACTGTATGTATGTATACTTTAACTACATACACCTTTACTTTTATCAGACTTACTTTTTAACTTGAAGAAATATAGTATGAAAAAGTCTTCTAACAGGACTTTATAAAGTTGTTCATTTGCCAATGACTGATTTACAGAATCAAACTATGCTTTTGTTACCATTGATATGTTGTTTATTGTCAAAAAAGGAAATGCTTAAATATTAACTTGTACTCACTTATTTTCTTTGCACATTGGCGTCAGAAATTAAAAGTATTCAAACCATATAGAACAGAAAAATGGATGATGCATTTTTCTGGATCATTAAAACCAGGCATGTCAAACTCAGGTGCCCAAAAGGATTTTCAATTGTCATTCTCATGGTAGCTTGCAGCATTGACAGTCCTATGGCATGATATTGTTCACTTTAGAGCTTATCTCAGGAACACAACCATTAGATACAATGTTAATATCCATCCATCTTATTCCCCTTAATCAATTTCTGGGTGGAGTTAGTGGGAGACGGTGGATAAGGTCTTATAGTGGGCTCGAACCCACAATCACCAGGCTCAAAGGCCAATGTTCTACCAACTGAGCCAATGACGTGTCTTCCCACACATCTCTTCTTAATGTTTAGCCCAGTTGGGGTTGAATCCAAACCTGCAAGAAAATAATCTCCAGACAATGAATTTGCCAAAGCATGAAATATGTTAAAAATAAACTTTAAAACAACTTTTATATTTCTGGCCCCAACCAGCTCATTTTAAATTCAGCCCTTGACCATAATGCGTTTGACACCCCTGATTTTAGACCATATCCTGTTTTGTGTAATTGACATCAGGTCGTCTTTCCAACTGCGACAGGACCAGTCATCATTTACAGTGCAGCCATCTGTCCACTGCGCAGTGTTCCCTCTGAGGCAGCCAGAGACTAAACAAAGCCCCACAGCCGTCAATTAGGCGCAGTGTGATGTGATCTGGTCTGGTCTGGTCTGGTCCTGTTTCCATTCCTACAAACCAGAGCGTGTGCCCATCCTGGATCAGACAATACACTAAATGTTTTTTGCCACAAGTCCGGGCATGCATAGTTCCTCCTCCTTTTGACTTGCGGCCTGGGAATCTTTGAGTTGGGTGATACGATATGTATAGACTTTCATTTGAAATTTTATAAATGAAAAAAACTATTTCAGTAGTATTTGTTTCGGTAAAAAACTAATGCACTGTCGCCCCAAACAATCTATATCACAAATAAAAAAAAAAAATCTATTCTTTTTCATTTCTGTGTCGGAGGGGTGGCAATCCAAGCTGCCACCCAATCCTCATAGCACCAGCCCCTATCTTGTATCTAATAACATTATTAACGCTTTTGTTGTTTTTAGTAAACCCCTGCTGTATGTACTATGTTGACTTATTTGCAATAGCTTGAACTCAACACACTGACAATGTCATTTGGCAAAAATGCATCTCTCGTCCATGCATCGAATGCTAGAAAAATCGTATTTGAATTTCTTTTCTAGTTTTAGAATCTAGCTTTGCATTGACAACTGAGTAGAAATGCTAACTGCTTTTTGATGAGCCATATGGTTACCGATGATGGATCCAGACCATAGAAGGCTGGGTTTCCGGAAATCAAATTATGTTTCTTCCTCTTTCTTGATTGTAACAAAACTATGGGCAGTATTCTTGTCACCGTTCATCCAGCGAACTTGTTCTGTTAATGGTGTCTGTGGCCATCACAATGTCACTGGGAATTGATTTCACCTGACTGTAAAGTGAATTGAAAAAGTGTGATTTCAATCTTGTGAATTCCAAAGTCTATGATTCTGTCTGATGATACATTTTTCTCATCACACAAGCAGTGTTTGTGCTTCCATAGATCTCACAAACCTTTTATGTACAAACACGTCTTCAACCAAGCGGAAAGCCTTCAATTCTTATTCAGTCCTCATAACATTTAAAATACTTGACTCTTAACACCACAAATGTACACAACTAAGTAATATACTTATTTGTGAAAAATGCAAAACAAAATTCCAACTTTACAAAATACAATCCACTGTTTTTACATATTGCACATTTGCGTTATGCACAAAAAAACTTTTAGAATGCAAAAGTTTCCCTCCGTACCATGCCTCTCAACACGTCAATACATCTATACTTTTTTCCTAAGTTGCCCCGAATGTCGACTTTTCCTCGCGATGACAGCTCTCAGGGTTTAGAGACCACATACCTGAACATTTCTCTTTTTGCGAAGTGGAGAGGACGCTACTCAGCTGTCAAATTTTAAATGACGAGGAGACACAGTGACCTAGAAGAAACCGCAGAAGACTTACTAAATGACAGCTCTCGTGTCTGCTTCGACTCAATAATTCACCGTTTTGCATTGTTGAAAATACCAAAAATCAATTTGTTTGTTGCCTCAAGCTCAATGTTTAAGCCCGAGATACTGAGTTCCCGTAAAACTGTCAGTCAGAGGCAGATTGTTCCAACATGCTAAATAAATCGATCCTAATCCTTTAGTGTGGGCATCTGGACCCAGTCTTCTTAGTGGCACTTACTGTATTTGTTTCAATGCTGCTAAATCTATAGACTGAAAGTCAAAGAGCATTTGGCATCGTATGTGGTTCAATTTCCTGTTTAGAGAATCCATTTTGAGCACTTTTAACCAATAAAAACACCTAATCATAGTAGTCACATAAACATCTATATTAGAGAAGGTATCATTGAAATTTCCCCACTGAGGGACGAATAAAAGTCATCTCATCTATTGTATATATTTAATGTAATATTTAGTCCTCTCCTCATACCTTTCGAAAAGCAATATAGTTCTAATACAGGGGTGTCTCAACTTTTTAGCTTTAGGGCCACTGCAGTTGACTTGACTTGACTCCAGGGGCCGACAACACAGACTAGGGATGTAAATCGGCGACCGTTTAACCGGTGGTTGACCGTCACAGCGTTAACCGGTCAAAGCTGTCGGTTAAAAAAGAGAAAAAGGGGAGAGGGGAGGTCTCTTAATAACGCTATTTTAAGCCCTATTTGCACGGTGTGACGAGCGGGTCTGTATCTAGCTGTATGCGCCCATGTATTATAAACTCCGGGACGACTCTCACGCCGCACGAGCCACATATGCACACACGCACGCGCGCGCACACACACACACACACACTTTCCCCCGCTCCATGCGTAACATCCACACGCATCATCTCTCCCCTCTTTTACCGTCAAAGTTGCACACTGGCGCGGGTCAGAACTACATTGGAGCTTACATTTACACACACACACATATACATACACACACACATACACACACACATACATACACACACACATACCGGTCTGTCGCGCTCCTCTGTGTCACGGAGCCCAAAGGATTCGCTTTTGGGAGTCGCGTATTTCCCTTACATGTTTTGCTGTAGGGGAAACATGTTTGTGTTTATGGTCCTCGGGATCAGCTCCACACACATCACTTGTATTTAAACTTTTGTGAAGACCTGTGAGACGCGGCTCGTCACTCGCTGCTCTGACCATGTGAACGAGCCGTCGTTTGCTGCTAGAAAGTTTTGGTATTAACCCGCAGCACAGCAGAATGGGAAGATTAAAAAAGGAGTTCTCTGTGCGCAAAGGTGCCGGAGCTGTTGCGGGTTTGGGCGCCGCTGTCTCGGCTCTGATCCAGTAGAACGCAGAGCTGCACTTATGAAAAGTACGCGGCTCGAAATGGCTGTTATTTCAAAGAACGTGGACTATTTTAAACTACGCGGTTAACCGGTTTCAACCGGTTAATGAGGCTCGGTGGTCGGTCATGAAAATTCATAGTTTTTTACATCCCTAACACAGACGACAGCTTTGACTGGATCAGGCTGTTCCGAGCTTTAAAATGGGGAATGAAAGTCCACATAGATTCACATTTGACAGACATTTACTGGCTTATACTCTCACACTACAGCTACATTAGCGTCATTAGATTTTAGAAGTCAAAAACGATTGTCTGCGTATACTGTACCACTACAATTAACGGCAGAGTTCAAAATGGCCTGAGCTTCACAACAACAAAACAGAGCAAGTCTATAATGGTGGAGCTGATGTTGGATGATACTGTGAACTTGTCTATATGATATTAATGTTTAATTTG